TATAATGCAACGTTTTCATGTACCTCAATGGATGGGGAAGTTGATTCATCCATTAATAAAGGTAATGCTCCAAAAATATACCGGCTTAGCGGTCAAAATTACCATAGAATGGGCAGTCTCAACCACCAAATGGATCGAAACCAAAATTCTCTCAACTATACATATACGATATTGAGCATGAAGTTTCAAAAAGACAGTGATTTTCGGTATATATTCACCCTTATAGTTATTAATAGATTTATTTTAATTCCCTAATATAGTTATATTAATGTTTACTTTTTTTTATTTTTTATCATATAATCAGTGAACAAAAAGAAGGATCTACATCAATTTTTGATTCCCTTGATGTTGAGATTATACAATATTTGAAGAACATGCTAGATTCCCAAAATGTTTTGGTTAAGTCTTATAGGATGGCAATATATTGTTTTCAATCCAATCCTAATGTGGAGCTAAAGTTATGCCTTATCAGAAGATGGCAAAAGGATGGAAGAACATATAACCTACCAACTGGGTCAGAGGTTGAATCTTTAATTGTTGGAGATATTGGTGGTATAATTGAAAAGAGTGATATTATTGTAAAACATCAAACGAGTTATCTACAACAGATAAGTGAATTACATTCTTCTTACCTTCCTCTTTAGTATCCACTTTTGTTTCCATATGGAGAAGATGGTTACAAAGTTGACATTCCTCATAGAGGTATAACGTCTTCTAAAGTAAAAAAGATCAACTGTAACAATGAGAGAGTTCTTCGCCTTCAGACTTCAAGATAGGGTAAATATTTTCTCATGAATTCTCAATGCAAGAAGAATTCTCCAACAATTTATTTTTTATGGTTATACGATGATTGAAAGTGAGAGATTTCATTACATACATAAGCAACAAAAAGTTCTAAGGTGCAAAACTTATGATAATTTACGTACTGTACAAGAAAAAGGAGAAACGGATGTTTCCAACATTGGACAACGTATTATCTTATCTTCTTCTTTTACCGATGTTGCTCTCTATGAAACTACCCCCCAAGTATTAACCAGTACTAACAATTTAAAAACATGCTATAGCATACAACAGGTTCCAATATTTACAACAACTACATATTGTTCATATAAAAGAACAAAAAGTATGAATCCAAAAATTCATCATAACAAAAACTTTCTTCCACGATCCAGTTACATCTTCCCTTTGACTTTGTCCTTCAATGTTGGATGACCTACAAAATCAATTATGACAACAACAGAGGGTTAGATGTAAGGTCTAGTGAGTAAATTCCCTTCCTGAACATAGAATTTGTCATGATACTTTAATAAAGTTCAGACCTGATTTTTAATGATATAATTATCAAATATCTATCGCGGTTACACCGCCATCTATAGCCATAACCAAGTTTATTGATTATAATTTTAAACACCCTGATTTGGGCAACATATTGAGTTATACTGAGCAATAAACATTTCCATCTGAATACTACCCTAAGCGACGAATACCTTTATCTGGACAACAAGGTGCGCGATGAGGACCCATATCCGGACAACACTATGTGCGATGAAGAGTCAATTCGGACAACACTATGTGCGATGAGGAGCCAATACGGACAACATTTTGAGTGATAAGGAGATAATCCCGACAACATTATGAGCGATGAAGAGCCAATCGGGACAACACTATGTGCGATGAGAAGCAAATCCAGACAACACTATGAGCGATGAAGAACTAATCCGGACAACACTATGAGTGATGAGGAGCCAATCCGGACAACACTATGAGTGATGAGGAGCCAATCCGGACAACACTATGAGTGATGAGGAGCCAATCCGGACAACACTTATGAGCGATGAAGATCCTTATCGGACATAATTATGTACGATGAAAATGTATAACATATTTGATGTAATGATAGGTTGATACCAATACACCATCTAATATCATAAAACAGAGTAATCTACATAAAATGTAATGATACTCATATTTACCAAAACAATGTAAAAACTCACCTTTGCCTAAAATCTCTATGAATGCTCTGCTTCCTTCCCTTTTGATGATCAAGTTGCTAAAGTTTATTCTCCAAAAATCAGAAACCTTTCTCAGTCCATACTACTTACTATATATAGTAAGTATATCAAAAGGAAAAGGGGGAAATTGAGGCGGTGCATGGACATGCACACCCTCCCCCTCACATGATACAACTATTCTCAAAAACCTAATTGGACCAAATTCACAAAAACACAAGGAGGTGACCATGTTTCACCATTGGTCCTTCATCTTCCAACAAATGCCAGATTGTTACCCCCGAACTTCCATTGCTAATTAAATTCGAAACCCAACCAACTATAATTTCAAACCGAACATTACACGCTACATGATGAAAATCTATTTGGATGTAATGTTCCACCGACTGGTTATGAAATCGCATTGATGGCCTCTACTTGTGTCGTAGCCCGTCGGAGAGCTAGATTTGCCTTGTAAGTCGTATGGATATCCATATTTTTTCGTAACCGAGACATGTAACCCTAAATGGCCATAAATTAAAGGGTTTCTTAAAGACACCATGGTAAATCCAGAAAACAGGCCTAATATCCTTTGTCGGTTATTTAAGATGAAGCTTGATGCACTTATTAAAGAGTTGAAAGATAGTGCATTATTTGAATTCATAGGTTCCATCGTTCCCATCGGTTCCGAGTATTCCTTGATCATTTTCTCTAATAAGAGGAGTTCCTCTACTTAAGGTTCAGGCAGGTATGTTACATTTATGATAATAATTTTAACAAAAGGTTCATACTAATAGTTTATCTTTATTAATTTCAAATTTCACTTTTTATGTAGTTGTTTATACAGTGGAGTTTCAGAAGCATGGCTTGCCTCATAGTCATATATGTCTATTTATGCACTCTGATTTCAAGCTAGCTATTGTTGAACAAATTGATCCGATTATTTCAGCTGAGATCCCAGACAAAGACGAAGATCCAGATTTGTACTTACATGTGAAGGAGTTCATGATCCATGGTCCTTATGGTGAAGAAAACATTAAATGTCCCTACATGATTGATAGAAAGTGTTCAAAAAACTATCCGAAAAGGTTTTTTGAACACATTTCCATCGATGATAATGGTTTTCCTTTATATTGCAGATGAAATGATGGACGTTTTGTTGAAAAGTTAGGCATTAAATTAGATAACAGAAATGTTGTTGCATATAACAAATATTTTTTGAAAATATATCAGGCACACATTAATGTTGAGTGGTGCAATCAGGGTTTTTCTATAAAATATTTGTTCAAATATATCAACAAGGGTCTGGATTGAGCTACTATTGCGGTTTTAGAAAGCAGTAATGTAGAAGATAATAATAATTCCGTTAATGACATAAAGAAATATTATGACTTTAGATATGTATCTCCATGTGAAGCTTCATGGCGTATATTTGGGTATAATGTTCATTGTAGGACTCTTTCTGTTTTGAGGCTTCCTTTCCATCTTCATGGACAACAAGTCATTTTTTATGTTGAAGATGATATTGAAAATGTCATAAACAAAACTTCTGTGGCGTCTTCAATGTTCTTAGCCTAGATGAAGTGTAATGAACTTTACGAAGAAGCACGAAAACTTACTTATGTTGATTTCCCTACAAAGTTTGTGTGGAAATTGGAAGAGCGATGTTGGGATCGAAGAAGGAAAAAAGGGAATTTGGCATAGCGGTATCATAGTCTTTGACCTCCTAGGAGACCAGGGGTTCAAACCTCACCAAAGGTGAGGAGGGTGTGTGAGTTTATTTGTTGTATTTGCCGTATATAATTATTATATACTTAAAAAAAAGCTTTTCAATTGGAAGAATTCATTCAATTTCTCCTATTCTTGATGAAGCGTATTATTTAAAAATTCTTTTGAATAAAGTCAAAGGTCCTAAATCATTCGAAGACATTCGTAGAGTAAATGAAGATATATTTCCTACTTTTAGAGATGCATGTTATGCTCTTGGGCTTTTAGATGACGACAAAAAATATGTTGATGCCATTGAAGAAGCAAGTTTAACCGGTTCTGGTTTTTATCTACAGTCTTTATTTGCAACCATGCTGATTTCAAATAGTTTGTCTAGACCTGAATTTGTCTGGCAAAAAACATGGCAATACTTGGCAGATGGGATTCTTTACAATCAACAAATTGCACTAAAGTCTGCAGGTATGTTGATTATCTATTTAAGTATTTATACAGTTATTATTCAAATACAAACTAATTTATTGTTTTATTATTTTTAAATATTATTTTCTTTCTTAAATATTTTTTGGTTATTATTTCTATGTAATGGTTGTTTACATTCATATTACATATTTTACAGGTTTATCCCTCAATGTCAAGAACTTGATATTGTTTGAGACTGAAAAGGTTTTATTTCATAAAAATTCCAGCTTAAAAAAATTCACCACTTTGCCTTACCCTGATGATGATTTTGTTGAGTCTTCAAACAACCATTTGATTATGGAGGAGCTAGATTACGATCTAGCTAATCTATAGAACGAGTTCCATCAACTTCTAGGTGCTTTAACAAATGAGCAACGAGGTGTTTATGACGATATCATCATAGTGGTTTAAAATAACCAATGATGTATGTTTTTTTTGTATATGGTTATGGCGAAACAGGTAAAACATTTCTATGAAAGACATTATCTGCATTAATAAGATCTAGAGGAGAAATTTTTTAAACGTTGCTTCGAGTGGTATTACTTCTTTACTTCTTACAGAAGGTAGGACAACACACTCTCGCTTTCAAATTCTTCTAATTCTTAACGAAGATTCTCTTTGTTACATAAAGCCAGACAGTGATGTTGCCAAGTTAATAAAGAAGATTAGGTTGATTATAAGGGATGAAGCCCCAATGGTTTATCGGCATGAATTTGAAGCATTGGATAGAAGTATGAACGAAATTTTGATAGTCAGGGCATTACCGACTCAAAAATGCTTTTTGGTAGCAAAGTAGTTGTTTTTTGAGGAGATTTCAGACAAATTATGTCGGTTATTCCCAATGCAAGTAGACAAGACATTGTTAATGCGTCGTTAGGTTCATCTTACATTTGGGAAAAACGCAAAGTCCTAAGGTTAACTAAAAACAAGAGGTTAACTGTTGACAGTCAACCTTCTGATATCGAACAGACAAAGATTTTTGCAAATTGGCTTTTCAATTTAGAAGAAGGCAAGGTTGGTAGTGTGAATGATGGTGATGCAATTATTGATATACCTGATAATCTTCTCATTACCGATTCAACGGATCCTATATCTGCATTAATTGAATTTTTATGTCCTTCTATTCTTGTGGATATCAAGAATTCATCATATTTTCAGGAAAGAACAATACTTGCACCAAAGCATGAAGTCGTTCAAGAAATAAACGACTGTTTGCTATCATTGTTTCCAGGAGACGAAAAAGAGTACCTAAGTTCAGATAGTCTATGTGAATCAAAGCATCTTCACGAACAGTTTGATGAAATTTTGTAATCACCTGATGTCTTAAATGATCTTAAATTATTGGGTTTGCCAAATCATAAAATATTACTAAAAATCGGTGTTCCAGTTATGTTACTAAGGAATACTGATCATAAATCTAGGTTATGTAACGGAACTAGACTAAGGGTGTTATCTTTGGGAAATCAAGTTATAAAAGCAGAGATCATATCTGGAATCAATATTGGAAGCCGAACATTTATTCTAAGAATGTCTTTGACACCTACAGACAAAAGGATTTCATTCAAGTTTTAAAGAAGACAATTTCCAATTTATGTACGTTTTACCATGACCATAAATAAAAGCCAGTGATAGTCATTATCGAAGGTTGGTTTGTTTCTGAGACAACCAGTCTTCACCAATGGTTAGTTGTACGTTGCTTTATCTAGAGTAAAAAGTAGGCAAGGTTTAAGAATATTAATTACAGATGATGATGGTATAATAAGTAATAGAACAAAGAATATTGTATATAAAGAAGTATTTGGTAATTTATGATATGTGATTCTTATTTTAATAATATTTTAACTATGTACTTTTTCATAATTTCATTTACATTCTATTGTAAATTTTGTTTTACAAATTCTTAATATTTATTCATATTTTAATTATTATTTTTTTTACAATATGCATAGCACTCGTTCGTTCAATGTGAATGCTTATATGTAATTGCACTATTACCTCATCCAACTTTCAACAATTTATATATTAAATGTAAGTCTGCCTAGCGATCATACATTCGCACCCTCAACATACATCATCATCCAATGCCGAATCTTTTACAAGATTTTATTATAGAAATATTACCTATTATAATATGTAAAACAAGTAATATATCATAGGATTCATTTTATAAAAAATAAAACTTAATTACTTGGATTAAAAATAAAGAATACGGTTGCATTAAATGCAAGGCCGCCAAGCCATCATAACTTAGCATCCTTCAACATACGTCATCATCAAATGTCGAATCTTGCACACGATTTTATTATAGATATTTTAAGCATGCATTTTTTTAAGAAAAATTTTGGATGGATTTTTTTAAGAAAAATTTCTAAATTGTTAAGATTTTTTGGATATTTACTTTGTTTGATCGTTAATTTTGATTATATTATTTCTATAATAAATTTAATTCTCCATAAATTTCAATTATGGTTCTTTCATTGTTATGATAATGATCAATGTAGATCCTAGATTCCAAACAAATCAAGATAAAAGCAATAATTGAGAGATTAAAGAAGAATATCATGAAGTAAGAAATTGGTCAATCTCTTTATTCATGAAAAACTGGAAATACAGAAGTCTCTCGACACTCTAAACGCTCATGTGAATAAAATTTATAATGATTGTAGGAATTCTCTTTTAAAAATCTATGTCTATATTACCTATTTATAGGTGGCATTTACAATGAAACTAGATCCTATAAACATGGAAAATAATCTCTATCGCAAATAGGTTGTTACAAGATCAGCATCATCCCCTCGTTCAGAGTTAGAATAACTCTGAACTCAAGGTCTTTAGACTTTGAAGATAAGTCTTTAAGACTTATACTTTGTCTTGTAAGCACAGTTCAGAGATAGATAAGTCTTTAAGAGTTTTACTTAGTCTTGTAAGCACAGTTCAAAGATAGATAAGTCTTTAAGACTTATACTAGCACAGTTCAAAGATATCAAGTCTTAAAGACTTAAAATTGGTCTTGTAAGCACAGTACAAAGGTCTGAAGATAAGTCTTTAAGACTTAGACTTAGTCTGTAAGCATAGTTCAGTAATAGTTAAGTATTAACTTATACTTAGTCTTGTAAGCACAATTTAGAGATAGATAAGTCTTTCAGACTTATACTTAGTCTTGTAAGCACAGTTCAGAGATAGATAAGTCTTTAAGAGTTTTACTTAATCTTGTAAGCACAGTGTGATAACTGGATCATGGTTATCACCGGAGGTAACTAATACGTGACTGTTTGTTAAATGATTACGTGACAGCATGATAAATTATTATAATTGATCATGTGGGAATGTGTGTGTTATGCATGGGAAATATATGCATAAATATATATATATATATATATATGTATGTAAATGTGTATGTGTATGTGGGTATGCATAAAATATATTTGCATGCATGATTATGTATACATGAAGCAGTATGTATGCATGGGTTTTACTTACGGGGTTGGGCAAGCATGTGAGCATAGCTGCCTTCCTAYTTTGGGAAGGGTATAAATAGGGGGTGAAGCCTACATTTCTTCTTCTTGCCATTTCTGAGAGTTAGTGAGTGATTTAAAGAAAAGTAGAGAGAGATCATCCGGATTGCTTGTATTGCTTGGAATTTGAAGTTGGGTTTAATCTTGTTTCTAAAGATTGTAAAAGGTGAGTGGTTAAATGCTTTCAAGACGCTTTAAATTATATGTTTTATTGAGTTTTGAGTTTATTTAAGTGTTATCCGGATTAAGAATAAACCAGACCAAGGTTGTGTGATTTAACTCATAAACCGGATAAGGGTCAAGCTGATTAGACCTAAACTGGATAAATGTTAAGTGGTTTAGTCGTAAACCGGGCGAGGGTTGAGCGACTTAACTCATAAACCGGATAAGGCATGGGCGATTTATAAATAAACCGCCTGGTGGGTTGACCGGATTAGATTAAACCGGTCAAGAGTTGAGCGATATATGAATGTTGAAATTATGTTGAATATTTTGAACGGAAAAGTATGAATACGATCATGTGATGACCGGATTATTTTAAATCGGTCAAAAGGGAGCATAGTGTTGTCCGGATT